GGCCAGTTCAACAATTTGCTTCATAATTAGTCTTGCCAAGGTCTCCTGAAAAAACACTGATCTGTTTTATTCATTTAAAACTACATTTAACAAATCAAGAGTCCTATCCCCACAGTAAAAGAAAGTTGATGAGGGCAACAGCAGGTTTTGTTCAGCAGCAAGTCCTCTGTAGCCAGCTTAGCTCTGTTTTCATGTAGGAAAGTGTCTCCTCTCTGTGTAAATAGTTTGACACATCTGCCAATGTGCGCTAAGGCCACCTAATTATGTATCAATGAAATTATATGTTTACTTTGCACTAGCTTGTCACTGCCAGCTCTCAATTATTGTAGAGTCTCTCCGGGGCTACTATCAGGCTATGCTTAGAACGGAAGCCTGCTGAATCTGTCATATGCAGTTACTACCTTTCATTTAGCCTCTGATCTCTGTGTGTAGATGGGAAACTTTTGCTTCAATCCTTGCTCAATCATAAAATCAAATTTTACATGAAACAGCATCACTCTCTCAGCCACTTATCTAGGATATTAGGACATACCCTGGAAGGTTCTCTTATAAAATAGAAGAGATAAATTAGAGGGATAGTACAGAGGTGGGTTTCAGCAGGTTCTGACCAGTTCTCCAGAACTGGTAGCGGAAATTTTGAGTAGTTCGGAGAACTGTTAGTAAAAATTCTGATTGGCCCTGCCCCCATTTATTCTCTGCCTCCCGAGTTCCAGCTGATCTGGAGGAAATGGGGATTTTGCAATAATCTTCCCCTGGAGTGGTGTGGGAATGGAGATTTTACAGTATCCTTCCCCTGCCATGCCCACCAAGCCACAGCCACAGAACCAGTAGTAAAAAGTTTCGAAACCCACCCCTGGGATAGTACATGTGGATGCCCAGGAAGATCATTATATGAACATTAGTGTTCAACTGGCATTGAAAAGACTCAGGTTCTAGTCCACCTTCAGCCTTACCTTAGAAGCTCATGGCATAATTTGAGGCCAATCATTTCCTCTCAGTCCAACCTACCTAACAAGATTTTTGCTATGAGGAAAAATAGGAGGCGGAAGCACTACTTTCAATAGGATTTTCAATAGGAGAACCAGTTCGGCCTAGTGGCAAAGGCTCCAGGCCAGGGAGGAGGAGACCGTGAGCTCTATTCCTGCCTCAGCCATGAATACCATTGGGCCAGTCACTCTTTCTCACATCACGGGGTTGATATTGTGGGGAAAATAAGAGGAGGAAAATGGGTTGGAAGGTGTTTATCACCTTGAGTTATTTATATAAATAATAAATGTGGGATATAAATAAATAAATAAATATTTTTTTAAAAAAAACACACATCAAAAAGCATAGAATGGGGGGAAAAGAAAGGAAATCCCAGTCCAGTGCTCTCAAACTGGATCGTGTCCCCCAGTGTCTAGAGAGCATTGGATGGAAAGCTTATACTAACTAGCCCAATAAAGCTTTCCTTCCTTGCATCTGCCATTATACCCAGATTAGAAACGGAAACAAATAATGTCTTCTAATATTGTTATTATGAATGTAATTTGGAAAATAATCTAATTTATATCTATGTAGGCATTATTAAAACATAAAGGTATCGGGAACCTCTCTATGACATTCCAAAAAAAATAAGATGAATAATTTAAGTGAAGATCTGCGGCCGAAATGGGATCTCTGCTGATTTTTTTCATTTGGAGTTGATCCTCCTATAGATATTTGTGGATGTGTTTGAATCCACATATCTCAGTGATTGTAACAGTAACAGTAACAGAGTTGGAAGGGACCTTGGAGGTCATCTAGTCCAGGGGTGGGCAATTGTGGCTCTTTTACAACCTGTGGACTTCAACTCTCAAGCTGTCTCAGGAATTCTGGGAGTTGAAGTCCACAGGTTGTAAAAGAGCCACAATTGCCCACCCCTGGTCTAGTCCAACCCTCTGCTCACGCAGGAGACTTGTACTAGGGATTCAAACCGCCGAAATGCCAACCTTTCTGATCGACAAGCTCAGTGTCTTAGCCACTGAGCCACCTAGTCAGGCTTAACAACTGTTCAAAATTATGTAACAGGACTCTACTAAGGTATGCTATGCCTCAAACTGAACTGTAGCTTGTCTGTTCTCACTGAGGGCTAAGAGAAATGCAACTCCCTTTACAGCAAGAGAAGCTACCTCTTGATTTGCCACTGAGATACCATGGGACAAATGTTGTTTCTCTTCCACATTCTTGGAATGGTCTCTCATCACAGTAAGGCCTGTGACTTCTTGTCTTTTCAGGGCCTACTTTGCTTCAACAGAATTGCAAGTTGTAAAATGACCATTGATTGGTCAAGAAAGGAGAGGTACACGCAATGAGCATCAGTCTTGGTAACAGAACATTCAGAAACTCTGTCTTCTCTCTAAGCTACACTTTTTTAGCTAGACAGGATTATGGGGCTTGTCAGGTGAGGGAGAGACAACAATAAAGGCAGGAAATGTGCAAGCAGATGCAGATGCATGTACAAACAGACACACACGTGCACACACTCACAAACAGAGTGTGTACAATTGGGTGAGTTAGGGCCTCTAGCTATTGCTAGACTACATCTCTAGCACATTCAGCCAGCACAAACAATTCTGAGGGATATTGGGAATTGTAGTTCATCAACATTTCTTAGCCCTGAGCAAGAGAAACTGAGAGGAGCCTCCTTAATGTTTCAGGATTGTCAGGCATTCGACCAATTTCAAATACTTTTTTTAAAGCTGATATTTAGAAGAAAAAATACATAAAATTTGACTTCACTGAATTTCATTTGCATAGTGGTAATACAGTACTCTGAGCAAATGCACGTATAATTATTTAGGTCATCCATGAAATAGAATTATTTTTTTAAAAAAATGTTGATTGATGGTGCTTTTTATTTTTCAACCCCTCTCTCCAGTTATAAAAAAAGCTGACATTTGATATAGGAAAATCAAGATTTTGGGTCCTATGTTGAAGAATAATGAAGGCTGAATAAGTTTTGCCATTCAACGTTTTTCCCCCTCCTTAAGAAAAGCCACTTTTCCTAGGGCCCTTCTAAATCTATCGGACTATATCTCACCAAATGATGGAAATTATCATTCAAGATATATGGACAGCATCAGGTTAAGAAATGCTGAACTAGGAGTCCCTGGACAGGAATCTAGAGACCTCCCTATAAATAGTCAAGCTAAAGCAAGTCTGGTTTCTCTCACTTTTCAAATGGTTGAATTCTGCTCTCCAAAAAGGGAGGCCTTCATAGATTGATTAAAACCAGAACCAAATATTTCCTACTAGCACCACTAACCTGGACAAGAATTAGACTCAAGAAATCAGGTCAACAGGCTATTGCCTAGAGCAGTGGTATCAAACGTGATTTCATTGAGGGCTGCATCAGGGTTGTGTTTGACCTCGGGGGAGGGGGGGCGGTGTGGCCAGGGTGGCCAGCTCGACATCACTCATGTGATGGCGGCCCGAGCGGTCTGCCAGTGAAAATGTGCTCCCGAGCTCCATTTCCGGCTATGATGGCCTTCTACAACCCTCTGCCAGCGAAAATGGAGCTCGGGAGGGCAGCACGCAGCCCTCTCAAGCTCCATTTTCTCTGGCAGAGGCACTGCTGGCCAATTCCTCACTGTTTCCAGGGTGGCCCCACGGGCCAGATCTAAGCACCCGTGGGCCAGATCTGGGGCCGGGGACTTTGAGTTTGACACCCCTGGCCTAGAGCATCTCTAATTGTAAAGAGACTTCACAATTACCACTCCTCTATGACTCAGGGCAAAAAAACCCTAGGGCCTCTCCGTGCAAAGGGCAGCTGCAGAGGACAGGGCACATTTGGAGCTAAGCACCCCCATCGGCACCTTCCCTATCCACAGTGCCCACCCTCTTTTGCTCTCCTGCCACTGCTGGCAGCCCTGCCCATTGCTGTGCTTGGGTTTGGCACGTCTCACACACAGTGAAAGAGAGCTGTAAGATGAGCTCAGTCCAATTCCAGAGATTGGGAGTTTGGTGCCACTGAGTCAGAGGAGAGGCGTGCGGGAGCTGGGGGGAAAGGAGAGAGAGGCTAAAAATATCACAGAAGAGCAACACACAAGGAGATCTGCTGGGTGGAAAACACAGCCAGGCAAGGGCAGGTAAAGACACCCAGAACAGACTTTGTCTCTCTCTCTCTGCTTAATTCCTGCTAAATTTCCAACCAAACATAAACCCCGATTTGCTGGGACTACCATTTCCGAGGGCCAGGATGCCCAGTAGCAACAAGCTAGGAATTTAGACTGGGTTTTCTAGAAGGCAAGAACCCTATCATTCAGTTCACATGTCAGGAAACACACTGATGTGCCTATTAATTCTCAACTACTACTAACTATTACTGCCCAAACCACACAATCTCACACTTGATATCAAGGCATTTGTTACAATATTCTGTTTCACAACATCCGAACTATGAAATGTTGTTTTTTTTTAAACAAAGCCTGTATCTAGGAGTTTTATAGCAGAAGGGAAACTGGGAGGTGGGACAGGGGAGTCACTGTACTCATGACCGCAGCTGGAGAGGAATGACGATCCGGCATCAGAGACGGCTAAACTTGTTCCTGGAGATTAGGATCCAGATTGATCACTCAGTAGAGCAAAGTTCAGTTGGAGAAGTTAGGAGATTCTTTAACTGCAGCAGGAAACGTCAGTTGTAGGTGCAGAAATCCCAGGAATACAATCTTTCCCTCTATCTCTCCTCTTGTTCTTTCTCTTCTTGCTCTCTCAATGGCTCTTTTTGCCTTGGACACTTAACTCTTGATTGTCTTCAGTTCCCACTCAGGAAGACCACACAGGAAAGATTCCTGCATCTTTTGGTAACGGGCTTGACTTCTGCACAACTTTTAAAACTCTAGGAACTTTTGCCCTTAGCCATCTCTTCTCTCCTCCTATTATCTGATGCATCAGCCACATGTCCCATACCTGCGCACCAGCCCAAACTTAGGATTCTACTTCTACCCCAAAGCTGGTAATGCAGAAGAAATCAATGTTACCTTTGCTCCTGGGGCTTGACAGAAGCTTATTGATAACTTTTTCTCACTCTCTGGGAAGGTTGTGTTTGCTCAGCTGCTGGCAGAGGAAAGACCTTGTTTTTGTGGAGAAAGAATGTAGCAGTGTGGGAACAGGTGGCGGAGAGATACAGGGACTGGGGCAGGGTGTGTGTGTGTGACAGCACCGCAGGTCAGGAGTTCTCTTCAAACCAGCAAAAGAGATTGCCTGCTCCTCTCCAGAATGACAGGAGCAATTCAAACACCCTGTAGAAAGTGTGTCTTCCATTACTACTGTATTTCCTGCTTTGGAGAAAAATGTAGACTTTGAAATTCTGACACAATTGTTAAAGGCAGCGAACAGCATTTATCCTTCGCAAGGGAGATTCGTGGAGGTCAATTTCTTTCTCTTCCAATGTTCTCAACAATGGCTGTTATGACAGCCTCCTTCCTATTTGTGTTGAAGGGAGAAGCGCTGCCAAGGGCTACTTAGCTGGCCAACTCCCCTAGGCAGTCTACTTGTATTCCTATGAAAAGATCAAGTGATGGACTCTCTTATTCACGGAAATATTTACTGGATCCTCTTATGCTTCCTACTGCAATGGGATTAGATTAACCACATTGAGTTTAACACCAGAGTCAGCATTGGAAAAGGGCAGCAGGGAAGGATCCAGCATTCCTTAGACTGTGGGTCTGTGGCAGTAGAAACTGGGCCTGTGCCTGCATGCATAGCCAGACAATAGCAGCATTGAGATGGGGATATTTCAAGAATCTGCTTGAGATCCTCATGCTGCACCCACAGAGATAAACCCTCTCTGAACAGCTCATGGGCTTTATGGCTTTCTACCCACTTCCTTTCCCATAGGGGCCTTGAGCAACACCCAGACCCACTTACCTTTCTTGCTGTACTGTATGTCCTTCCAGCTTCTGTGATTTGAGATCTTCTAAGTCTTTCCTTCTATTTTCTTTTTAGTATGATATGGCCCTTTCCCTACCTTGTTGTCCTCTAGATGTATTGAACTGTAACTCCCAGAATCTAGTTAGCATTAATACTAACTAGCATGGCAGAACATATGCTGGCCAATAACTCAGCAAGTTGGCCAATAATTTGGAGGAGACAATATGGGGAAGGCTGGCTAAAGACTTTTCAGCCTGTATTAGATCAGTTGGCAAAGATATGCAAGAATGAAAAGGAATTTGGGTCAGTCAGAGTGTACATTTGGATGTACCTGCACCATAAATGTTTCCCCTTCTGCCCAAGTGTACATATGCCTTGTCCGGATGTCTCAGCTTGCCTCATCCTCCACTGGTTCCATGATTCTTTCTCTTTCCTGAGTGTATGAACACAAACAGCAAAGGAAGGAAAAAGATTAGGAATTCAGCATCACCATCAGAGCTTTTTAACTGTTGGCACTATAGGAAGAAAGATCCTGGGAAAAATGAGTTTGGGCCAGAAATGTGAAACATGGACACAGAAAGGCTCAACGCACTGAAATATGGGGCATAAAGTACTTTGAGTTGTGTAGACTGGTCGTTCTTTCAATCCAGAGTCAGTATAATTCTCATCAAATACTGAGATAAAATAGAGCTCTTGAATTCCTGCCCTAGTTCTACTTCCATTTCTTCAGACCATTTTGTTTTGTTTTCATATTCTTTATAATCTCATTTCCAATTTTCATTCTCCCTTGATTTTTTTAATTGCCCCTTGCTACTTGTGTTCCTTTCTTCTTCTGGTGGCCATTTTCTTTATTTTCTGAGCCCCATATGTTGCTGTCTCAAGCAGCTCTTCCCCTCTAGGACTGGCATCCAATTAGAGAGGGCTCTCCATGAAGTGCCTTAGAACGGCCTCCTCCTCTGTTCAGGAGGTTATCACATAGGAGAACTTGATGAGGATCCGGGGGAGAGTAAGAGGGAAAAAATGTCCACTTCCTCACAGCTTATGTTTTAAACAGTAAAGCTTTTGCCTTTTGATCAAGGATTGAGGATTAATAGGTTCCACCCCCTGAAAAAGTTTGAGAATCCCGGTTTAAAGAATGCCGTCAAATCAGTCTATTAGAAGATACACCAAGTGGAATACGCCAATCTATTACCTCCAGAAATCTCATGACATCTTCAAAACTATAGATGGCCAACTTGCTCTGTACCATAGTGGCACAGTAAATCTGACCGCTTGATTAACATTGTATCACTAATGATTACATTCCAGAAGTAATTTGAGAAAAGGCTGACATGAAAGCGACCGACCCCTGAGAGTAAACAGCTAGCAATCAGAATCTCAGCAACGTGTTTGAAGATAAAGACTTCAAATAAAATGAAAGTAGGGAGAGTGCTCATGTCCTTGGTCTTTCTAGAATGACCACCTGTTGCAATAGTTTCAGTGTTTGCAATACATCTTATAAGCAAGTCAGTATCAATTTGCGCTGCCCACGGATTAAGGTACTGCTTGTTTTATATTTTCCACTGTGGAAAGATAGTGATTCCTTGAACATATATCCTTGAACGTAGATACAGTAATGTTGTCTATGTGGTATTGTATCACGGAAAGAGGAGAAAAGAGAACAGATTTCTATTCTGAAATAGGATTTGTCCAAAATTTGCTCAACAAAACCCCCTTCTCTTGCTAAATGCTTGTTGTCAGAAACATATAAATACTAATTTCTGGAATCTGAGCACTGGTGAATGCACAGATGCCATATGTATAGCTTAAGGTTTCATGTATGTATTATAATATTAATAATTAACATGTCCCTTCCCACAGAAGGAGAGGGCAAGTGTATTAAATGAGCCTGTAGTACAGTGGACTAAAGCACTGTTATTAACATGTGCTGCTTGCAATTACTGCAAGTTCAAATCTCACCAGGCTCAAGGTTGACTCAGCCTTCCATCCTTTCAAAGGTAGGTGAAATGAGGACCCAGATTGTGGGGGCAATAAGCTGACTTTATATAAATATACAAAAGTATGAAGGCTATTGCTTAACGCATTGTAAGCCGCCCTGAGTCTCCGGAGAAGGGCGGCATATAAATTTTTTTAAAAATGCACAATTAACATCCCAATGGCTTGTTCTAGCCCCCTATGGGTGGGACTGAGGACAAGTGAACTGAGATGATTGTGGCTTAATCTTAAAACTCTTGGAAAAACAATAAAAAATCCAACTTTATGCCGCTTGATCCCCACTAGCTCCCATGGGCCTAACCAGCAAAATTAGTATATTTATTTTGAGGGTACCAATCCAGCTAAATCTTTTAACTGCCTGCCTACCTGTCTGACATTTCTAGGTCATCAACAATTCTGGTCAGCTTAACATGCAAAAAACAGTAAATAATAAAAATAAAAACCCAAACACAGTGTGGAATGGGAAACCACCAACTCCCCACCCCAAAACCAGAAATAAAAACAAACAAAAGGCTTACTTAGTGAAAAAGGCAAGTTTTTAATACACTTTTAAAGGCCTCTAAGGTGTGTGGGGGGTGTCATGTGAATCTCCCAGAGAATCCTGTTCCAGAGGGAAGGTGTAATAAAGAAGGCTCACCTCCTGGGACGTAGTAGAGGACATTGCCTAACTGATGGGCCCAGGATTCATCTGCCAGATCTTCCCATGGACAGAAACCATGGGAAGCAGATAGGTCCTGAAACAGCCAGGCTTTATGCCCTGTAGAATCTTAAAAATAACAACCAGCTGCTTGAATTGCACCCAACGGGACAGGTTTCTAGGAAAGTCATTTCTGTTGAAAAAGTCATCGTAGCTGGTTCCGTAATCCTTTATTTACTTGATTGGAAAATGTACAGATTTTTTTTCCTTTTCTTTTTTGAAAGCATATCTCCCTGCACCTTTTACAGTACCCTGATCTTCCAACATTTGCAAGAGACAATATTTTCTCTCTTTGGCATGTGGTGAAAAACATTTTCTGCTAATTCTTGTATACTGTTACAACATGTTTTCCCTGCCTACTTATATGGCAGTTCTAGAGAAAGTTGACTTCTGAGGATTCTATGTATTTATTGTTAAACTGGTCCCCAGACTTTCATGTCATCCAGGCAGCTTTCAGCACCCTATCTGAAATGGAGCTGACTGCAATGAACTCAGTAAACCAGCAATATATTATTACTACTGCTCATACATAACAGTTCAGTATAGCCATGCTGTGTCCTTTGCTCATCAGTTCAAAATAGCATCAAGCTTCTTTTAAAAAGCCACACACCTGTTTCTTTGGGGATTTTCAAATTTAACTTTAAACAATCTGGCAAAAGCAGAAAAAAGTCAAAGTTACAATAAGAGGATCAAAACAACAGAAAGTCAGTACTGAAGTGGTAGAACGATCACTCAAGCACTACAGCAAAATATAATTGAATAGGATAGCTTTCTTTCTGTTAATGAGGTTAAA